CCAAGCAGCATCAGAGGAGCAGGAAAGCTGAAAAAGGGTCTAGGCCCGAAACGTCAACTTTCCTGCTCCTCTGCTGCTTGGCCTGCTGTGTTCATCCAGCTCTACACCTTGTTATCTCAGATTCTCCAGCATCTGCAGTTCCTGCTATCTCTGAATATTTTACGCAGTCATGTTTTGCTTTTGGGGTGCCAGTCGGCTGGTTTGTGATGCAGACTGACTCCAGCAGCACATGTTCAGTTCTCCTTGTGGGTCCTCCCTCCTTAAGCTCTCCCCTTGCCTGAGGTGTGGTGACCCCCAAGTTAAACTACCACCAGTTGTGTGTGTGTCTCTCTCTCTAATAAGAGAGCAGCCCAATAATCCTCTGGAATAATTGTGACTTTTCCTTTGCATATTTTCGTTTAAAAAAACCCCAACATTATCTACCAGTATACTTACTAATTATCAACAAATAGGTCAATAGTCTCATGACCTTCTTGATTAGATCACCCCATGTTTAGGTTATTTTTAATTTGGTCCTTGACCATATAGTTTTTCTCACCTTGTCTGTTTTAAACAAATAGCCTTAGAAGGCTGAAATGGAGTACCTGACTACACATTTAGTGCAAACAGGCAACTCAGCCAACACTACAGGGATTTCTACAGAATATCTTTGCTGAAGCTGAGCTACATACAAACTGGGGATCATCCATAAACTGAGTAATACCATGGTCCTCCTCCTTCCTTCCTCCGAACCCCCCCCCCACCACCCCCCATTGACTTTTGTTTAATAAAAGAATCAAGAAACTTTTTTCAGATTTTCAGCAATGAAACCAGCAGATCAAGGGTTAAGATTGAATAACCAGTTTTTTGCATTTTAGTAGCATTTGATTATTGGCATCAAGGTGTTCAATTAATCAATTTTAAATTAAATTCACCAAGAACAGTTTTATTGATTTTTTTTTTCCCCCTAGCAATTGTTTTTCCTGTTTTTATTTGCTCTGTTAGTAATTAGGATAACACCTTGCTACAGACCCTACTGACAGAGCTTCAGTTTGCACATTACTTTAAGTGCAGGGATTGCAAACTAAATTGTCACCTACTCAGAGCTCCATTTGTGCTGTGGCTGTTGCCGTTGGAGGAGCTAGTTCAATTTGACCAAAGCAGAACATCTTGGTAATTGAGACTTGGACCAGTAGTCTGTTAATCCTTTTTTATTATGCTCCCTTTGACATGCTTTTTTGTGTGCACTCTCTCCCTCTCCCCCACCTCTGTCTTTTTCCCTCCCCCTCCCCCTCCCTAATCTGCTTTCATGTTGTTTGTCGGTTTCAAAGCTGGTAGGTGGGCACCTACCCCTTTCCCCCGCCTTTTGTACTTTTCTCTGTGTCGGTTTCTTTGCTACCACATCATGGCCTAGCAGTGTTAGAATGCTAATGCACCATCCCATCTCTAAGGTCCTCTTCTGAGTAGAAGGGTGGCCTTGCCACCTCAGCACTGATAAAAACAGGCTTGCAAAGCGGTCTCTGTCCTGCACGTTGCATTTACTGATGAGACCTCATGAGACCAGTAACTTTGAAAGGTGGGGTGGCAGAATGTCTAGTTATGACACAAAGTAGTTTGAGACTTTAGTTCATGGCAGTGCATCACATGTGGAAACTGGAGTTCCCATAAGATCACAAACAGTGAGAATGTTCGTCTTGTTGGACGTGGTTTGTGGGTTTGCTTTTCTCAATTCATTAAAGAAAATACTGTAGCAGCCGTTCATCCTTTTTTTTTTAGAGCTCAGGTGCACTTTTTACTTTCCAAGTCCTATTTAATTTCTGCCAATCAGATGTTGATCACAGATTTTAAAAAAAGACTAACTATTTGGTGATTGCTTTTATTTGTAAAACTGTCCAATATTGACCACTTTATTTTTTAAAGTTGTTTCTGAATTATTTTGATTCTTTGTCTTTCAGTGCTTCCAGTCAGCAGGCTGGCTGGATTGTTGTTGTCACAGTGGGACGATAGCCCTTAAATATCTCCCAGTGTGACATTGGAAAAACGTGTTTAGAATGTTACACATTGATGTTGATTGTGTTCTTGATTTTCTTTTGTAAAAGGCAGCATTTTTATTTGGTATTAGTGTGTGAGAATTTATATTGGACTGTTGTAACCTCTGACTAAAGACATTTGCATGATGGAGTGCCATTAGGCCACACTGACGAAGGCATCCCTGCCCAGTTATTGTACAGGTTAATTAGTCAAAATGTTGCAGTACCCTTTCATAGTTCTTATGGTTTATCAGTAACAACTATTGGGGAAAATATTGATGAAAAACCTTGTTTTGCTGTACGTCATCTGTTCAAGACATAACAGCAGCAATCAAATGCAGTCACTTCTGGATGTTAAAATGATTGGTGCCTGCAGTTAATTGGATGAGTTAGATGAAGCCCACAGTGTGCTCATTTTATAATAGGTAAATAAATCAAAGCTGAATATCATTCAGTAGATTAGATTAGGAAGGCCAAAGAATATAAACTTCCAGTGGTATTAAACCAAATCAAAATTAAAGCCTTTAATCCCTTTTGGTCCTTTAAATTCCACAATACCGCATCCTATTTTCTTCCAATTCCACAAGAGGCTGCTTTAATGAGTAGCAGACAACCTGGTTATAATGTTTCCATTGAACGTGAGATGTACGGAGCTATTTGCTGTCTCCTGTGAAAGCCTCAATTTTCAGAATCTTATGTTTGGGATTTTTGGAAGCAACTAAAATCTGCCATAGAACCTGAAGGAAACATGTTCTTAATTCCAAAGATTGATTTTTGACAGTTATTTGTTTTGAACTAATTGATGCAATTGGGGTGACTTGTGTGTGTGACTGAGAGACACGGAGTCTGAGTGTGAAGAAGGCTGACAGACGGACTGGGTGGGAGAGAGATGGGGGATGTGTGTGTGTGAGAATCTAATCATTTTTTGGGGGTGGTGGGTGGGGGGGAGAAGAAAAATCATTGAGAGACTAGAATTAATTCCAAGCAAAAGAACAGTTAATTCCCTGTGGGGAAAGTTTATTGCTAAAGCTGTACTAACTGCAGCTAACTGGATAACTTCATTGTTAACAAATGACACTTCACTTTCAAAACGAGCCAGACATGAGGGAAATTGAAATTGCTGTACACTCCAAGAAGTCCTTCCTACTGCTGATCATGTGTTCTGGTGGCCCATTGGCTGTTTTAAAGGAGTCACAGGTTCACTGCCACAATCGCTGGTAAGCTTTGCTGGTTTAGTCCAGCATCCAGTTACCAATGGAGTTTTGTTTTTAATTAGTAAATACCAATGTTCTTTTAATCACTTGGGCGATATGTTGCTTGTTACCTTTTTGGGATTTTTGAGATTTCCCCACTTTACCTGGGAGTTGTGGGGAATCTTGTAGATTCTGGATCTTCTAGCTAGTAAGCAACATCACCTCAAATCTGGACTAATATGGAATACTAAGTTGTTTTTTTTAGGGCTTTTTTAAAAAAAATTGATAGCTTATTAAATGCCAGCATTCTGGGAATTCTGAAGATGGCAACATCCATACTGTGCCTATTACCTGACCAAGTGGCACCTTCAGTAGAACAGTGATCCTGAACAACTCCTTTTTAACCAGCCGTAATCGGGCAAATGACGTGTGGCTCCCTGGCACTCTACTTGCCTTAAGTAAATCTGTATATTTCTGAAAGCATTTGAAGCTATGCATTGGGAGATTAGGCCCTTCCTTAGATGGATTTAACACTTTGAGACCTAACTCTGAACTAAAGGTAAATGATGACAGATTTCTATGATTTTGTTAAAAGTAAAGGTGTTACAGAATGTATTCCGAAAGATATATTTAGACACTTATTTTTGTGATCCTATGGAGGTGGGTGTACAGGTTTCTTTTAAAAAAAAAAAAAAAATGCCCAGAGGATGTGGAATTTATAGAAATGTTTATCAGCTGGAATATTGTAAAACATTTAGATATGTTTAGAATGCACAATGTACTGTAATTGGTTAAAAATATTTGTAATAAGGTTATTTGTTTCATATTTTGAAGTGTATAGGAACAGTATCATGTAATACTGT